CTGGCTTACATGCCAAAGAATGAATCATATGCATTAAAAAAGTATTTCAGAAAGCAAGAGAAGTGAAGCCATCAGCTGAAGCTTTACATTTGCTTATCCACATTTACTTATTGCAGGGAACAAGCCAAGTGGACTGCCAGTAAGTGATGAACCTCCAATACCAGATGCTGAAGGAAAGCTCATTCCCAACGGAAAGCCTTGTTCCCCTCCATCAGAGGAGTTGGGTCTCTCCCCATCCACTCCCCCTGAAGCAACATTGCTCCATCAGTCATCTCAGCCATTTGAAGTCCATGAAGCGTTCAGGCAAGAGGAAGTGGCGGACATTGCTTTAGACACAAGCGTAGCAAATGCATTCGAAGACTCTCTTTGGGGGGATGACCTGAACATGGGAGTGTGTGATATCAGTGGTGTCAGTGAAACCAGTGACTCCGTTTCAAAACAGAAATTGAATGTGACAGCAGATGAGAAGGAAAATGTTCCAGTTACAGATGTGGTGAAAGATGCTATAGATATGTCTACAGATGTGTTTGATGATGACCTATTTAATGATTCTGTGATAAGATCAACGCAGGCTGTTGAAGAGGCTATGGAGCAGAGTTATAAGGCAGAAGCTAAGTCAGATACTTTCGGAATCGAATCACTGAGCAGCAAAGTGAAGGGAGTAGGGCTAAATGTGCATGGTAAAAGCAGTGTAGAAAAAAGAAACTTTGTTACAGGTATAAGGAAAACTTCATCTGTGTCCGAGGATGAAGGTGTGGTACTTAGTCAAACAGCAGTGATAGGTAAGGGGGAGAAAGAGAGGAATCTTGAAATGCACTGTTCAGGAGATCAAGTACAAACTGTGAATAGTACAAATGCTTTGTCAAGATACAGTAAAGGCAGTGGCGTTAATAATCTGTTGTATGTCAAGAAAAATGATCAGCAAAAGTTTGTTCAGACATCAGATGGTAATAGAAGAGATATAAATGAAAACCAAATGCCAGGTAGGAACAGTAAATCTTCCAGTGATAGCATGCATGAAAGCACAAGGAACAAATCTGGAAAAACAAGTCCAATTGTTGGCAAGCAAAGAAAGTCTCCTGTTAGTGTGGATGCACCTCATAGGAGAGTGCGGAGCTCTTTTCTTCTGAGCTCCGCAGCTTCAGTCCAAGCAAGGGGAAAACTTGGTCTGCAGGAAAGCACTGGTGATGGTGAATGTAGTACATATATTGAGCAAAATATTTCTAATAAGAGAAACAATGACGCTTTTAGTGTTGACCAGAGAATATCAAGTAAGTCTGAAAGTATAAATGTAGGAACAAAATTAGATTTACCAGAACGAACACACAATGTAAATGTTACAGCCCCATTGACAAACAAGTTTTGCAGTGCTTCTACCTCTGCCTCATTACAAGGAACAAAGTATATGAACAAAGACTATGGGAATGTGCAAGCCAAAAGACCCTTATTCAGGAATGAGGAATGCAGCAAGGAGAAATTTAGTGATAGAGCCCAGACAGCAAAAGGACAGCTCTCACGATCACATTCGACAGATGACACACAAGCAAAAGCTACAAAGCAGACGTCTTCCTTCAGACGTGTAAACAGCTCAGCCAGTGTTGAGCTTTCTCGTGAATTTGAAGAAGACGATGAGTTCTTTGAGGCCATACTCTGCACACTGCCAGAGGAAGATCAGCTGTATGAAGGAACCAGTCAAGCTATAGCTCCTAAAGCATCACTTGGCAATCTTGAGAACTTGAAAAGTGGTTCTTCCTTAACATTGAAGAGTAATAGTCACAAAGCAGAGCAGAAGCAGAGTAATAGTCACAAACTAATGGCAAATCAGCAAGAACATCACAGACCTATGACTGTAGGACCTGTTAGTACATTAGCCATGACGAAACCTTTGCATGGTGTCACTACGCAAGGTGTTTCAGGGTTTAGAAACATAAGAGGTGCTGCTTCCAATCCCGCAACAAAACCTCTACAAAGTGTGAGGGAGGATTCACGAGGGCCTCAGTTCAAACTCTCCTCAGTCAGCGGGAAAAGTTCTTGTCAAGGTAAGTGAGAAGCTATGACTGGTTATTAACTTTTAAGCATGAAACAAACAAAGACTTAATTTTATTTCCTCTTTATGATTTATACGTTGAGTAATTTATGTTGTGATTTAGCTTTTGTCTCTTACGTATGAGAAGTTACAAGTAAAACTTATTAGACACTAATTTAGCTATGAATTTAGATGTTATATGGTTCTTTCTCAGTATTCTGAATTGATAATAATACAGGGCATAACTGGAAATAATTGGAAAGAATTTTTCCACAGTAAAATATGGAATTGAGGATTGAGCATTAGATGCCATGAACTTGGTAATGTTCTTTTAAATCACTTAAACTTGCACTCACATCATGTAACCAGATAGAAGGTTTTACATTGTTCATTTGGAGATTATTTTATTAGTATTATTTATTATTCAGAAGCAAGGGTTAGGGATATATATGACTTCTGTTATTTTTGAAAAGGTCACCTCTTGCCTTTTATTGTAATTTATTGAAGACTAGAGTGATTCTTAGCTGAAAGGTGTTAGATAGTGTGAGAAAAAGGATATTACAGAAATACGTAAGGTGTGGAAGTTGCAAAACATTATATTAATTTATGCATGGGTTGTTAATATTTGATTTTCTCCTGTTTATGATTCTTCATATATTTTTTTGGGGGGAAGAGGAAGTAAGCCTCTTCTGTTTATGGTTCTTATTCATATATTTTTTTGGGGGGGAAGAAGTAAGCCAACTTAGTGATTTTGTGGTTGGTACATAAGGTTTTGATTTGATTTGGAAGAGTAGACAGTGAAAAGGGGCCACTGACTGTTGGTTTCTTATTCTGCTTTGTCAAGTTTATATTTTTCAGTATACGGATACTGTTTGTACTGAAATAATCAGAATTGTATATATCATGTGGTCTGGTTTACACAAGAGTTATAGTAGATAATATGAGTGAATTATTATTTTTCATCAGTAGCATTTTATTTGCTAAGCATTTGTAGGAAAGTGCATTTTGTTTATTATTCATGTGTACAAAATTGTCTTAATCTTTTGAAATTAAATCATATTAAGTACAAGTCCCTGTTGTAGGCTGTTGAAACGGTTAAGCGTAAATTATTTCAGAATTTATGTTTTAGCAATTTGAAATAAACTCATGGTATAACTATGCTATTGAAATGCAACAAAAGCTGATATCATTTTATTGAAAATTGGTTTAATCCAGTAGGTGAAGTTGGAAGATTCAGATTTAACTGTGAAAATAAATAATAGGGTTTTCTCCCCACACTTCAGTGACCTTGATGGGCAATGGAAAGAAGAAAAAATTATTTATTTACACGGCAATATACCTTACAGATGATGTTCCGCCGGTGCCAAAATCTAGTATTCCAGTGCAGGATGATTTTGGAGCAAGTGATATTTTGGATGATGACTTCTTTGAAGATGATGTTCTTACATATATTGAAGAAGTTGAATGTAAGTTTCTGCCTCTCTGCCTGGATCTTGAAGATTTCCAGTAAAATAAAAATCTAGTATTCACCTTCCAGATTCAGGTTTTCTCCTTATAAAGGTTATCAGCCTTTATAAAGTATGTGAACTTGTCGTTTGCAGCAGTGTAAAATGTCATCACAATTACCCCCTTTGAATTTTGTGCACTCACCTAATGCATAATTCACTTAGCATATGGCACTAGTAAACATTGCCAAGATAGCCCTCCTCCCCCACTCATCTTTTATGGTAAAATGCGGAGGCACATGTCTAATTGTCACTTCATTTTTGTCTTCTAATAGCTCAGTATAGCAGCCAGCAGTCGCATGGGGAAGCCTCGAATTCTCAGCCATCACATTCTCAGCAAATAAAGTGCACACAAGAGGAAATAGCACGCAAGAAGGAAGCTGCTCAACGTCTGCGGGAACAAAAACAGAGGCAGCGCCAAATGTCGGGTCATTACCGGCCAGTGTGCTAAGAAAGCCGATGGATGTAAGCTATGAATCCGAATTGTTATTGAACTTACTGTAACTGTTAGTTATAAAAGTTACCTCTAATGTTAGTAGTTGAAACTACTTCAAAGAAATGTATAATGTTTTGGCATGTACATTAGACAGGATACTGATGAAATTGCCTTTGTACATGACATTGTGGTTATTGTAGCATTGCCAAGTGTTAAAGTGTATTGTAAATAAGTGTTTAAACAAATTTTAACTACACAGTTCCTTTAAACAATTTCATTGACATTCCTGTAAGCTGTTGTCAAATATATTTACACAGTTTTGTTATCTGTGATATTTGAATTGTAGAATCATTAGACTACATTTTTTCTCAGTAGTCTAATAAAATGCACACTTTTAGCTTGATCTGATATCATCTGTGTCATTAATAGTTCATTACATGCAAGAGAATGGTACTTATTTTCCTTATTGTCTTTGTTTATGAGTGAGCAGATTATTTCAGTTCCAGGCCTGGTTTCTTATAGTGCTGGCACAACTACCACCCTATCGCTGAAAGTGATTTTTTTTCTTGCTTTTTTTTTTTTTTTTTTACTGTAGGCACATCATTCCTCTTTCTCTATCAATCAAGTGGGAACTACACTGTGTATGAAAGTCTCTACCCATATACTCCATGAAAAGTATAGCTCATTATGTCTTAATTTTTGGGATATGCATTACAGAATCAGCAAGACTTTTCTCTAGTCTGTTACTTCTATTTATGGAAAGTGTATGAATATGGAGGGTAGCATGATACAGATATGGAAATTTATAATTATTGGTGTGAATGCAGAACAAAGTAAGTACATAATAAGTTGGGAAAGATGGAAAGTTAAGGGGGGTCATATTTTTGCATTGAAAGCTTTTGTTTGAAATTTATGACCAAGCATTTGATAAACATATTCTTAAAAATCTTTCATGAACTTGTGGTTGAGAGATGTGTGTGTATATATACATGTTAACTTCAAATTATCTGTAAATAAAGTGTTTTGAAAAATATTGGGATATCACTACCCTATTGAAAATAAAAGTTAACCTGTGTGTCTTAAGAGTAGTTTGTCACTTTAGTGCATGATTTTTGTGTTTATTTGCAATTTCACTCACTCCAGGGATATTTAAAAGATTGTTTGAAAAAATGCTGATATAAGAAAGGCATATCACTTTCTCTTTTCTTAAAAAAGAGACCTATAAACCTCACTGAACATCTAAAGATAATATATGGAGTGAGAATGTTTTCCTCAAATTCCTTTTCTTATAAGATGGTTTCAAACACATATTCAAAATGTGCCTTGCTTTGTGACGGAATGAGAGAGGGGGCTGGTAGAGGGTTGGGATATAAATGATTGAAGTTTTCCATCGTCCTCACTCTTCACTCTTCCCCAACCAGTGCTACTTTATTTTGAAGTGGGTTCTATGGGATGATTTTAGTACTATTGTCTTCTGTGAACTTTCTCCTTGCTCGTGATGCAAAGTACAGATGGATTCTTTCTTTTGATTAACCTATAATAAATATTGGCTCACTTTCCATGAAGTCATGTAGGATGTATGTATGCTGATATATGTTTTAACTTTAAACAGTTCTGTGTCACAATTTAAGTTTTTTTCATATAACTTTATTAATATTTACTTTTCCCAACATGATATCAGTACCAGACAGTTCCTTTATTTATCAGAAATAATCGGCATTGCATCTAGTATAAGTGGTTATAGCATGATCAGCCAATAACATAAACTGACAATGGAATGGATCAAACAAGACATTTTGAAAAAAAAAAATATGACTGCAAGATCCATAGTATTGATTAATGTTCCAAATGTGAAAAGATAATTGAAAAGTAGAAGAGAAGGTAATAAATTTGACAAATTGACACAAGACATAAGGAAGCGATAAATATTAAAAAAAATACATCAAAGGTTATACAGCACTGGTATTGTGGCAGAACGAGTAAAATGAGTTAATGATTAGGACAAAATATGTTAGATGGCAAAGGTTGTAGAGCACAAGAGGATAATATGGTAGTGAAAAAGGTAAAGTGAGGGAGCAAATGGAGTAAGGTGGGGATTAGTAAACAGAGGTAGGAAAGTTGAGGGAAAAGGGTGATTAGATCAAATGGATAGTATCTATCTCTCTGTATGAGGAACACTGTAAAAGTTATTATGAAGCAATCAGCAGGTAATAAGAGCAGAAATGAATGGTAAGTAGGAGAAGAATAATCTGGGGAATGGGAGATGGGAACTGGGGGAGGTGGTGGTGTATCAAAGAATGTAAGGAGGGGTTGGATCCGAAGCACACTGTTGTGAAAGAAGGGAGTCATGTGAGCATTCTTGTTGAAGCAGTAAGGGTAATGGGGAAAGATGAGGGAATAGTGCATATGGAAAAGGGGGAGATAGGGTGTGTTGGGATAGAATGGGAGGAAGAGTAGGGGGAACTTGAGGATGATGATGGATATATGAAATTACTTTGGATTTAGAGAAAATGGAAGGTGAATGAGAGAGCAACTCCTATAAACTACATTAGAGGGCAGCAGGCTGTGGAATGACAGTGCTTAGCAAGGTGGCCAAAACACCATTTCTGACATTGATGGGGAAGGGGTCGATATGGTTGGGCTGGGCAGGACACTGCAGCAATATTCAGTGGAGAGGTCATGTTTACAGAAGCTAATCTTAGCAATACTGGTGTAGGACTTTTGGTGGGAGGAAAAGTGTATCACCGTATTGCTACTGCATCATAATCAAAGAGGCAGGCAAGCAGGTTGTTTCCACAGTCTGACCAATCCTCGTAGACAGGGCAATCAGCTGGGGATATAGAAATGGTTTCAGTACAGTATCAAGGGAGAAGTGAGGTTCTGCAGAAATAGGGTATGCATGAGCTTGGGCCATAGATGTAACTCACAAGGGGTGAATGAATAGAATGGCTGAAAGGGAATCAAAGAATTGATCCCATTTAGCTGGGCTAGAAAGAGTACTCAAAAGGTTTGTAGAGGTGAAAGTAGTAGAAGGAAAAGGCTGGAGGAAGAGGGATTGGTTGGGAGTGAGGTAGTATTGTGTGGAGGAGGGCAGTAAGGATATTGTAGTAATAATGGAAGAGGGGCAGAAAATGAAGAAGACTGTGCAGATGGACTGGAGGATATTGGAATAGTAAAGTGATGTATTCTGAAGTTGAGTAATGGACGGTGTGGATGCTCTGAAATGGATCAAGATGGCAGCAAGCACTGAGGGGGTTGTAATAAAAGCAACAGTCTGAGCCATGATCAAAGGAGAGGCAGGGGTCAGGAAACAAGAGAACTCAAATCTAAATAAATGAACTGGTGAAAGGGTAAGCCTTAATGCCCCTAATAAAGTTACAAAACCTTCATTATTGGCCATAGTGAGCCTGAAATACACAGTAGGACAAGGACAAGAAAGGATTGAAGAGAAGGCAAAGGAAAGCAGAAGAAATTACTCTGTATTAATAGTAGAGCCAAAGGCTGAGGTCCAAGCTAGGCGTGATCCCCAACATTGGGCTTCAGTCACCATCTCCTAAGCTCCCCCCCATGATGATAACGAGCATGGGATAGAAGGTGGGGGAGACAAATGAAAAGTGGTATCAGATACCTTGAAAGGATTAGTCTTGTAACAAAATTGATTCTACTGTATGTCATTTTTTTTCTTCTACTGTTCCCATAAGGGATGTAGTACCTTGCAGCCAATGCCAAAAGCTATCCACAGGTGTTATACAAATAATACTTTAAACTTTAACCCATTGGCGCTAAGTGTCACGTACGTACATGCCATGGCTGTTGTAGACCAAATGCCGGGGGCATCATGCCATGCCCATTCCCTTGCTACTGGCTCGTCGGAAGGAGGTTGTTTTCCTCCACTAGTAGCGGCTTCATTTATATGGTAAAGATTTTAGGCAATGGCACCTAAAGTGAAGGTAAACCTTCAAAATTTTAATATTTTTATAAATTATAGCAAAATAAAAGATTTTATGTGCTATATGTCGCCCGCAAACTACCGATCGAGCCGGGCGCAAACAAGGGAAACTGCCAGTGTGCGCCAACAAGCCGGCGCATACGTAAACTTGACAAAATTTTTACCCATCGCTGATGGGTTAAGTACAAACTTCTACAAAATTCCTATGTGAAAAAAATCAAATAAATTTGTGTACAAATGTTCTCATCTTCCTCAAATTAATAACGTCAAATAGATTTTACACACATTTTATAAAAGAAAAGAAAAGAAGAAAAAAAAATATATATTTTGAAAATTTAGGAGTAAATTAAATCACCACATTTAACTGCTGTTTATTAAAGTATAAAAGAATATATGTTTAAATAATAGTACACATTCTATTATTGCTATAAGACAAGTACTTCATACTGACCCTTACTCTGAAAATAGCACTGATACAATCTGTGCAAAACCCATTCTTTGATAAAAAACAAAAACAAAAAAAAAATCCATCTCTTCAGTTATAAAATCTTGGAAAATATTTCATTTCAGGTGCTATTTGTTGAACATGTAAAGGCACTTGAGAGCAGTTAAGACTAACATTCAGGCATTTAGCATGTCTAAATATCCGCAACAAAACTTATATTATGGTTTTCATGCTCCAGTTCATTAATTACAACCTTCGTACCAGTGCATACTGATATATACACAATTTATATGTTCAGCTTGTATCAATAACTTTTTTGCTTTATACATCCTTGAAAAATTATACAAAACATATATTACTAGTGGTTTTTATGTATAAATCTGTATGCATTTTGTATGCATAGACTATCTTAAAGTTATGAAATAGGACTATAAAAATAACTTCTCAGAAAAAAAAAGAAAAAAGAAAAAGAATAAGAAAAATATTAATTTTTTGTCAAACAACCAAAAACTGCCATTGCTTTTACATACCTTTTTAATAAACAGCATAAGCCATTCACTGTTTAAGTCATACAAACTCTATGAAAGTTCACAAATATTCCCTCTGAAACTTTAAATCTACAAAAGAAAAGAAATGAAAAGAAAAATTAAGAAAAAAGAAAAATTAAGAAAAAAAGAAATAAAAAAAGAAAAAGTCCAGGAATATTCATTTACTTTAAATTTCACAATGGAAACATTCTTGCTGCAACAGTCTCCAAACACCACTTCTTATGTTTATATTAGAGAGTGAAGGCATTATTTTTCTACCATATGATTCCCATCCATTTCCAATAAATGACTCGAAGCAAGGAGTGTGTCAGAGGTCTACTTGCAGACAGTAACTCGAATATTTTTTTTGCCAAAAAGTAGCAACATACAATTCAAACGGCATATCCATCTGGAGAGGCCTTGGATATTTGTACACTTTTTCTGAAACACTAAAACACAGGAGGAAAATAGTGCTAATTTTACAATAAGCATACCCGCCTCCTGGTTCTAGATCATGAAAAATCAAAACCGTATATATGCTTTTATTATGCAGTAGGCAATGCCTTCAACTAATTTCATAAACTGAATGGATTAACCCTTTCCCTGAAAAAACTGAACCCCATACTCTAACCTTTGGTTGCATACAACCTGGCATTCTAAACCTTATCACTTCAATCAACCAACACACTCTACTTTTCTTAAACATAATTTGTTGTAAAGGCACTTCATATGAAATTGTGCATGAAAATCCTTTCAATATGAACTGGAGGGTCAATGTAAGAAGGCACCTTTGAACAGGTAAGGATCGTAACTGCCACTGACAGGCACTTGCTCATAACTAGAAATTTTGTCCCTCCACTTCACTTAACAACACAGAAACTGACCGTATGTTTCAAAATAATACAAATTTGTAACCTACAGGAAAAAAGAAAACTTTTGGGGAGATGTGTACAGACTGAATTCCTAATGTTTTGGTTACAATAAAGAACTAAAAAAACAACAAATGAAAGAAAAATAAATAGAATGAACAACTAAAAAAACTGAATGGAAGTATAGTACATATACTAAACTTGGAACATTGAAACAAAAGGAAAAACAAGTCAAAATTCTAT